CACACACTTGGGTTTTAAAAAAACCACAACCCCGTTTGCCACGGAAGCAGCGCCTAGCCATTGCTGCTGAGATTGCGCCGCGCCGCTTCTTTGCCACGCCGCAGGATTGTCGTGTGATTGGCACCTCCCCCCGAACCACGGGACGTCGGGGCATTCTACCCCATTGAAGCCCCTTCCCACCCCAAACCCCACCCTCCTCAGGCTCCAGCCCCGAATCTCCAGGTATTTCCCAACCTGGAGCTGGCAACCCTAATCCCAACAGAGGCAGGTTGGGAAACCAAAGTTGCCCTGTTCCTCCCAATGGGGGGGGGAGCTGGCCCATAGCTAACATGGGGCCCATGGGGCCCCTCCCTCCTGGGCTGCCCCCAAAGTGTTCCAACTTACCACCTGCACTGTACTTCCATTTAATTAGCTGGTGGGCCCCCTGTGGCCCCCTCCCAAAGAATTCCCTAGCTACGGGGCTGGGGGGGAGGTGGACGAGAAAGAACAGGCTTGCTGTGGGGGCCACCCACTGGGGCTGGGGGCGATGTCTGGGGCTGCTGCTTCTCACAGCAGACTCCGACCCCATGGGTGGGCAGGGCAGCGACAGGAGTGGTTTTGGCTCCCCTCCACCGTTGGTGCCCTGGGCGGTTGCCGAGGTGAACCTAATGGACACACCAGCTCTGCTCTCTTATTTTGTAACCCTGCCCCGCCTCTGCCGGATTCTTATGTTCTCTGGATGGTCATATGTTCTCTGTCGCTTTTATTGCACTGTTTTAAATGGCGTAATCCGCCTAGACTTCCGGTGACAAAAGTGAACTAGAAATGAAGTCAATCAATCAATAATAAACAGGGTATATCGGATGATTATTATTCATGGTTTCCTAGGTCGCTTCTGCCTTTGCTGGCACCGCCCATGTCCTGTCAGGCTGCCATCCTGCTTAACTAGTTTAAAAGTCATCTTTTTTCCACTTCACTTTTCCAATAAAAGGTTCTCTAGCCATAATAGGAGGAGCTGCGGTGGCTCAAGTGGTTAAGATGCTGAACTGCAGGCTGTGGAAGGTCAGTAGTGGAACACTGGAGACCACCAAGGAAAGCTCTGCAGGGGAAGGGGAAGGCCAACCACCTCTGCTTCTCACTGGCCTTGAAAGCCCCTTGCTGGGGTCACTGTAATTCCATGGTCTAGCTCGATCTCATCAGATCTCGGAAACCAGAAAGAATCAGTACTTGGATGGCAGTCCACCAAGGAAGGCTCTGTAGAGGAAGGCGATGACAAACCACCTCTGCTTCTCACTGGCCTTGAAAGCCCCTTGCTGGGGTCACCATAAGTCGGCTGAGACTTGATGACACACACATATGTAACCACAATAAAATATAACACAATAAATTCTCATTGTTTGAGTTTGGGATTTCTTGGAGATTTGGGGGGGGGGGGCGGAGAGGGTGGAGTTTGGAGAGGGGAGAGAGAGCTCAGCAAAAGATGAGAGGAGACTCTCCAAAGCTTAAATTTCCTCCAGGGTGATTGCATAGTCTGGAAATCAGTTGTAGTTCCACAAGAACTCCAGTCCCCATCTGGAAGTTGGAAACCCTAGGAACAGGAAGCACAATTGCTTCAGGGTCCAGTTTCTCAAAGCAGGGGTCGTTTCCTGTGAGAGTGCACAGGAGCGGAGCTCTGGCAGTAAGGAGCCCAGGGGGTGGGCACATGCAGCAAGCCCCGCCCTCTGCTCCCAGCAGCCCTCAGTCTGGCCACAAGGAGCAAGAAGCAACTAGGGAAGTTGCAGAGGGCCCCCCCCCCCGCCTTCAGGTACAAGCTCTCCCTCCTCTGTGAGGACAGATCTGCACGCCCTCCCCAGGGAGGTTAGAGGGGCCCCCCCCCCCCCCGCCTTCAGGTACAAGCTCTCCCTCCTCTGTGAGGACAGATCTGCACGCCCTCCCCCAATAGCTAGCAATCCAAAACAGTCCAATGGAGCCTGAGCGGTGGGTGTTGCCTTCTGACACACTTCCGGTGATGTTAGCTGGTGTGGCATATGCAAACAAGTTATGCTAATGAGTCGTGCTAATGAGCTCCTGCACCTCTTTTTCTACAAAATGACCCCTGTTAAAAGCATCCAAAAAACATGCAATTTCTCCAGGACGGAAGTGGGCAACTTTGCCCCTCCTTCAGGAGACGTGAAGGCTGGGATGTGACAAGTGAAGCATTTGTGCTTCCACTTATGTTCTGAGGTGCATAATCTCTGCAACCACCACCTTTGCTTTCCCGTCCCTACAGCGTAAAAGGCAACCCAAGGGCGATTCTGCATCTAGCATTTGCTCCACATTTTCTCAACTGGGTGGAAAAGGTAAAGCTCAAAGTACCTCAGGGCAATGCTGTACTGACTGCAAAGCAGGCCCATAGCTACAGTGGGGCCTCCTGAGTTCCGGCCCCCTGACTTCCTCCCTCGACCCCCTGACTTTTGGGAAGAAGTGGGGGAAGGTTGCACATGCCTGTACTCCAAGATGCAAATTTGTGGCTCGGAGCGCAGGCACACGGCCTCCACTTCTCCCCCAAAGCGTTTAAATGGTCCCTTTTAAATGCTTTGAGGAAGAAGCCGGGGAGGCCACAAATTTCAGTGCCCCCTGACTTTTTAAAAGCCCCCCCTTTAAAAAATCCTGGCTATGGGCCTCCTGTGAAGTCACCCCTGAATGGCCATAAATCTATGCAGAAGGTACCATAAAACCCGACGATCAAAGAAGGTGAAAGCGGCATGCAAGGCAGAGGGGGATTTCTGTTCCAAGGTGGGGCTTCGTAAAACAACGGAGAGAAAAGTCAATGCAGCATCGCCCCAAATAGCAGAGAAACAGATAACAGAAATGCTTGCCTGTCACAAGAACTTGAAGAGTCAGAGGAGCTGGGCTTTTGCCAGTGAGGTAGATGTATCTCAAACTGCTGTCTGCAATCTGAAAGAAGTATGCTCCCTTGTCCTGCAACCGGGCGTTAAGGATGCTGAAGGAGCAATCGCCTTCCTCTGGATTGCCTGTGAACAGGAAACGGTTCGCAAAGGATGGCTCAGCCCTCTGCGTATTGTTATTGGTG